AAAATCCTTCCTTCAAATGAAATCTTTCACTCAATTTGAAAGAATTATCTGGGGCATTTGAACTAAATCTGAAAAAAAGGAAATCAAGTTAACTAAACAATCTTAGATTTGGGGTGTATTTTAAGAATTCAAGCTTATTCTCATTCATCACCTTCTCAGGACATTTTTAAAAATATTGTTGTTATGATCTACAATATGCTTAAAATAAATATGAATCTTTATTTCAGGAAGCATATCTCACATGGGAAACGTATTTCATTAATTAACAGAAACTTTCCTGAAATATTGAAATGCACATGTGGAGTTCAACTCCACATTTAGATTCCAACTGCCCAATTAAAATTCATAACAATAATATAATAATGTTTTTCTTTGGTAGAATTTTTAAAAATCTGGCTTTGGAAGTTAAGTTTAAAGTTATAACTTCCTCAATACCTTCTTTAGAATTGCTAAATATTCGTATTTGAGCACAATTTGAATGTCCAATTCAATTGTTTTTGAGCATTAGCTTGCTAACTTTTTATTCTTGTAATCCATCCACTTAAAAAAATTATGACTACGTCTATGATATATTTATTTAATAATTGTGTACATGAACTAACATGCTAATTTATTATTTACATTATAAAACAAACAAAACCATGGAAATGAAAAAGATGAGATAATATAATCAGAAGTTTGTACACATGCTCAAAAGGATCAACTTTTACAATTTCATGACATACATCTATCCACTTCAGAGCAACAAATTGTGGAGCTCCAGTGGCGCAATCGGTTAGCGTGCGGTACTTATACAGAGCAACAAATTGTTCTCCTATCTTCAACTATACATCTTAGAGATGTGTATCAATTGCTCCTAAGAAGCTCTGCACAAAGAGATGCATGGAAAACATATCCATGTCCGAGCATTACCAATCTTGATGTGCCATTATGTTTGTATACAAAGGTCAGAACTAAATTCATTATTATAAAGCAATTGAAGGTGCAATCCCAAAGAGCACTATACCCATTTCTTTTTTTTTTAAACGTGCTCAATTTCTAGGTTTTCTAGAAATGCATGCTTTGTCACATCAAGACTGATTTGATAAATTCACACCTTTTACCACAAGATGGTGCTCAAAACAAATGACTAAGACTATTGCAAATTCATTGCAAGGCTACTTCACGTGACAAACCTTGATGTGTAATTCCTTTCCAGGGAGACACTGTGGGAAAAATGGCCTGTTATCATTGATGTCAGTAACTGAGACATACACCACCATGGAGGCATTTTGCGGTGGGGAGCCATGGTCCGTCACTAGCACGGTTAGCTGATGGTGCCCCCGATGCTCACGATCCAGTGCCACCCAGCTTATCAATTCACCTGAGAAACACAGAGAAGAACAAGACAGGACAATGTGTGCTAGAATACTAACATTATGAACTGCATCCAAAATAATGCCCGGAAAACAAAACCAAATATAAAACTTAGAGCAAAAGCATGACTTTCAAGACAACATACGTAGTAGTTTGACTCTATGGTACTGTTGAAAGTTGCTCCTGAAAATGTCACTTTAAATTTGTTTCTTTGTATTTCAAATTATCTACCATCAACCATTTGAACTAAAAAAAATGAATTAATAAAACAAATGATAAAAACCCTTTGGGAACTTGTTAATAATTTGGAATATTTAAAATGACTGCTCATCGCTCTTTATGCTGCTACGTAGGATGATAGAAAGCACGAGAGCTCCAGTGCCACATATTCTGGGTTGAGGGTCCCAGCTCCCCCACCTCGGAAACAAATGCAATAATAAATTTAAAAGTATTTTGTAAGTTGTAAATTATTACTCACATGCCAGTTGTTATCACTACTTTAAATTAAATTAATGGCAAAATATCTTCCTGAAAAATCAAATATTCCTTAGGTAATGGTTTGTCTTTCATGTATTCAGATATTTATTTTTATCTCACAAAATATATGTGTAGTGAGAGATAGTGATGGAGTTTGGATGTGTTGTCCCCTCCAAAACTCATGTGGAAATTTGATCTCCACTGTGGCAGTGTTGGAAACTGATTGAGTCATGGGGGCGGATCCCTCATGAATGGATTAATGCTCTCCCTGGGGGAGGGGGGAGTAATGAGTGAGTTCTCGCTAGATTAGTTCTTGCAAGAGCTGATTGTTGAAAGGACCCTGGCACCTCCTCTCTCTCTCTCTTGCTTCCTTTCACCATGTGACCTGCTTGTACCTGCCAGCTGCCTGCTGCTCTTCCGCCATGAGTAGAAGCAGCCTGAGGCCCATGCCAGATGCCGCTGTCCCAGAATTGTAAGCCAAATAAACCTCTCTTCTTTATAAATTACCCAGTCTCAGGTAATTCTGTTATAGCAACACAAAACGGGCTAAAACAGATAGTGAGTTCTCAAATAATTCTTAATGCTTTACAAGCCGTATTTTTCCACCTTGCCTACTGCAGTACCTTAGGTAACGTTCCTCATGTTTCAGCCATGGAGACACAGGCATAAACCATAACTGTCTCTCCCTACTGCCAAGCGCCTTGGGAAGCCGAGCTCTCTCTCCAGTGGCCCATTTCTGCTGTGGAACTCTGCCAAGCATTGGTTTCCTCACCATTTATGAAAAAATTTCTTTGTGAGAAAGTAAAACATGAAGCGCTACCAACAATCATTTCTATTGCTAAGAATTTTTTTCTCTTAATCCAAATAAAATGATATGGGGTAAAAAGAAAAAAAAGTTAAAATTAGGAACAAAAGAGAAAAATTAACACTTAGGTAAGCTGCTAAATTGGTGAACTTAAATACACTGCCCACTATAACTTTGTACTATATGAACTACATTTATATAGTGTTTACTATAACTACAATTTCAATGAAAAAGCATATACAAGATTGCATTTTTAAGTTCCAAACTGTAATTCTTCTCTGAAAACCCTAAATCCTGAACGGCAAACAGATTTTTATTTCATGAACCACTCTAATTGATGAGTGGCGTCTTTTTTTAGGTGGGGAGTGAAAAAGACTGAGGCTCAGCCTGGGACTGACATGGGCGATTCCAAGGCGGGCTTCAACCGGAGCTAGAGTCCTGGTCACTGTGAAGACGGCTCAGAGCACCAGGATGGGGGCACGGGCATGCCTGACATGCTCTCAAGGCTGCTCTCCACCACTGCCTTGCCACTTTGTCCATGGTGAATGGGAATATTTGGTTTACAAGTACATAGTCCGTCAAGCCCCTTCATACACTCTAGCTCCTTACCTCTCAGAGCATGACATGAAGCACATCAGGAATCATCTCCTCTATGCATGGTAAGGAAACCAAACTCTAAAGTTAAGCTACTTGCTAAAGCCATACAACAAAATTAGGAATGGGCATTTGGTCATCTGAAGATGGGTGCTGGACTAATTGTAGAAAGGGGAAGATCATGGGGGAACCGACTGTAGTTTTCCTATTTAAAAAAAAAAAATTGCCAAGTGAAATAGAAGACCTAGAAAACTAGCCAGCCACGTGAAAGTAGAGTGAAAAGGGGGGGGGGGGGGGGGGGTCCCATGCACCTGTGCAGTTTGTGCCCTGAAGAAGCGGTGCCCACTTAAGGCATGAATGAGAGCTGAAATCAAGTTTGCACCCTTTGAGGCAAGCCATGTTCCCTGGCAAAAAACTCCATCTGCTGAAGGAAGGGGCACCTTTTCCTAATCCACACAATGAAGACTTTAGGTAAAATGCCTGAAGTTAACCAGAACTGAATCTGTTCCTATAAAGGGCAGGGGAACCGTTTACACAGGTTGTAACATAAATGGTGCCTCCTGTAGTTGTGCAAAGTGGTGGTTTCCTCTTATTTTCTACTAGCTCCATGACCTTGGGCAGGTTACTCCAGCTGTATATTTGCAGTGAAAACATACTTTCTTCTAGAGATTAAAGTCCTTTTAAATTTATACAACATAAACCTTAAACTATATTAACTTTTCATATTTAATGACTTAATTAAGACTTCAAAAAAATTCACTGTAATTATTCCTCTTTTCCCTCTGGTTCCCTTACCAAATGAGAATGGGAACATATATCCCTAGAGTCATGTTGAAATCTTAACAATAGACTGATTTCTAGTTTTACATTGGTGACATTTACATTTCATAAAATATGTTTTGACATCCTGTTAAAAGTCTACAAATGAAAAAGAATGTTGGTGAGAAACGTTAGCTTTCACATGAGGATTTATTGAATCCATTTCTGACTGTACCTCTAATTCAGAATAAGAACTGTGTATTGTCAATACGTGGGTGTGAGGCAAGAGAAGTATTAATCATTACCGGTGAAATTCTATTCAACTTTTACTCCATTTTAGAACCAATACTGCAATTACTAAAAACTGCAATCTTAATTGTATGTTTGCACAAATGCTACACCTAAAGATTTGAGTTTTCTCAATTTTGATTTAAAGGAATAGGTGGAAGCTAAAAAATGCTACCTGTATGAAGATTTATCTTGAAGAACTTCCCATCAGACAGAAGGAAATATGACAGCCGTCCATTCTTTCCAGAGTCTGTGTCAATCGCTGTAACTTTGCCTATTACTCCTCGGGGAACGGGGCTCTCTTCTACTTTCAAAAACAACACGTCGTGCAGGAAGGTGGGAGAATTGTCATTCTCATCCAGGACATGAACAATTACTGAAGTGCTCACATTTTGCAACAATTTGTCCTCCGGAATCCCAGCAAACACTCTAAAATGATAGGTTTGTGTGGATTCATAGTCGAGCTGCCGCCGCAAATAAATCCGCCCGGTGTGCGGGCAGATCGCAAACCCAGCGGAGTCTATACCAGCTTCCAGCGAGTACGTGCGCCGCGGGCCCCGGGGCACGGCCTGGACTTGCAGTACCGGCGTCGGCGGCGGGAGCGCCTCACTCACGTCCACTCGGTAGACCAAGTGCTCAAAAGCTAGAACCGGGCTCTGTTCTTGTCTTTCGATGACGACTGTCAGCACCAACAGGGATGCCCGAGGAGGAACGCCGAGGTCCTCGGCCACGAGGGTCAGCGTGTGCGGCTGCGACACATCGAGGCCCAGACTGTCACTGAGGTACAGCACGCCCAGCTCCCCGTCGATGGTGAAGAGGCTGGGATTCCGGCTGGGATCCCGGCCTGCTATGGAGTATCGGATGACTCCATTCAGACCACTGTCCTTGTCGTCTGCACGCGCAAGGTACAAGGCGGTGCCAGGCCGGGTGGTCTGGGATATTCTAACCTCATCGGAAGCGGTGGGAAACGCTGGCGGATTGTCATTGACATCCATTACGGTTATGTGGACTTCTGTGCTGCTGCAGGCCGGGGAGCTGCCCAGCTGTGCCTGGACCGTGAGCACAACCGCGGGCTGCGTTTCGTGATCCAGGGGCTTCTGCGTGCGAATAGTGCCCAGCCACGGGTGGATGGAGAACTTCCCATCCAGATCGCCAGAGGAAATTCTGTACGAGATTGGTTCGGAGGAATCTGGGGGAGAGAGAGAGCATTTATCTTGCATAGGCCCCTCTACAAGTGGGAGAGTCGAACAAGCATGTTTTGCTCAAGTTCTATGTGGACTAGCAAAAATTTTTAAGTCATTCAAACTGATAGCAAAAGGAAAATGTTTAAATACGACATCTAAGTTGAAATACTAAACAACTTTTTTTTTATGAGACATAATGATATACAGTTACCTAGAACGCCGTTCAGTATATACTAAATGGGGGGAAAAAAGGAGTTATTTGTATAACAACAAATACAATAGAATGCATTTTTGTAAGAAAAGTTTTAAAAGTGCCTGTCTGTGTTTGTGAGTGGGTTACAGGAGACATACGTTTTCTGCATTATGATTATTATAATTACTGTATTGTTTTAAACTTTTTCTTAAAAATATCTATTACTTTTGCAATGAGAAAAAAAATGTAAGATGGATAAAAACAATGTTGAAAGAACAAAGGGCAAGCCACAGGTTGTGCTATCTCCCTTCATTTTTCTTGCATGGAGAGAAGGAAAGATTCAAGATTGCACAGCCTAAGAAAATACAGAAAATGTTCCAATAGTGGAACATTATTGCTCCAATAATGGACTTCAAGGCAGCACAGGAGATAAGGACTTACTCAAGGGCTCCCTTGCCTTCACTGTTCCAACAGGACTGCCTTCAGGCACATCTTCATTAACCGAGAAAGAGTACTTAAACCTTTCAAATTCAGCAGGTGCCGTAGCTGTCTGGAGAATGTGTATAGTGACATCGGCATTAATTACAGCGGTGAGCCCTCCACCATCTCGGGCACAGACCATCAACAAAAGTGTTGTAGCTTCCAAATGACGAAGTGTTGATGTTAAGTAAATAATTCCTAGGTAGGGGAAAGAAAGAATTAATAAACAGATAACATGCAATAAGTACTGATGAACACCTGATCTGTTAAGTCTACTGTGATGTTTAAATTTATGTGCCAACTTGACTAAGCCATGGGGTGCCCAGATATTTGATCAAACATCATTCTGGGTGTATCTGTGAGGGTGTTTTTGGATGAGTTTAGCATTTAAATCTGTACACCGAATAAAGTGGATTGTACTCCTTAGTGTGGGTGGGCCTCATCCAATCAGTTGAAGACCTGAAGAGAACAAAAAAGTTGACCCTCTCCTGAGGACGAGAGAATTCCTCCTGTCTGACTGCCTTTGAACTGGGACATTGTTTTTTGTTTTTGTTTTTGTTTTTCCCTGCCTTCAGATTCAAACTGAAGAATCAGTTCTTCCTGAGTCTTGAGCCTGTGGGTCTTCAGTCTGGAACTGCCATCATTGGTTCTGCTGGCTTTCAGATCTTTGGACTCAGACTGGAATAACACCACTCACTCTCTTGGGTTCAGCTTACTGACTCACAGTGCAGATCTTGGGACTCGCCAGCCTCTGTAATTGCATGAGCCAATTCCTTCTAATAAATTTTCTCATGCGTGTATGTATGTGTGTACACACACACACACACACACCCTATTGGTTCTCTTTCTCTGGAGAATCCCAACTGATACATCCATCTATTTTCCAACCAAAGAATTTGAGCATATTTTCTACATCCTGTCAATTAAGCTGTATTTTCCTAGAGCTTACACATTAGACATTTGGGAAGTGTGTCAACTCACCAGAAAAAAAGTAAATTGTGTTGCCTTTTTTAGGTCATACTATCATATCACCAGCCCAGGTTACTGGAATAACAGAGTATATCCCATAAGCCAATGTATTCCAACATGGGGCTAACGTGGGGTTTGTAGGGTGATTGCCACCTGTCCAGGCACCAGAATCCTAAGTCTACAGGATGGGACTAAAATTTTATCTTCCAAGGCATTTGACGTCTGCCCTGAACTAAACCACGTAGGGCAGCTCTCTTTTTAAACTGACTCCACGTTATCTTTGTTAGTGAAAAGGTATAATACAACAGTTGTGTGTAAGAAAACTTTAATGATGAGAAAGAAAATATATGCAAACTTATTAAGTGAACTTATATACAAATAAATGTGGCTGAACTGTATGGAAACTGTCATGGTACAACTGGTCGTAACTATTAGTTAAATGAAGGAATACCACAATATTTGCTAGTTTACAAGAGGCTGGCAAAAATGTCAGGAATATCAGGTTTCTGGGCATAAAAAAGGTGAATCCATTCAATTTCTTTCTATTTTTAAGTCAAAATCTGTCTTCATACAGTTTCAATTCCTGGCTCCTATTTCTGTTAGTAATTTAATGAAATGTCTTATTTCTCTTCAGCGCAATATCTCATTAATTAATGAAGTCAAATATCTTCGCTGACCTGCTCCAAGCACAATATCTCCATTTTCTCTTATTTTTTTTCAGATTTACTGAGTTATAATTGATAAATAAAATTGTATAAGTTTAAGATGTACAATGTGACAATTTGAGATATATGTTTTATATATATGTATGTATGTATAATGATTTTATTTAATAGTTCCTTATCTAACATGATTATAAATCATTTCTCTCATAGTTCCTTTCTCCAGAACGTGCTCCAAATTGCTCATCTCGGTTTTGGCTCCCAAAGTGAACACACGTTTTCAGATACAATCTATTATAAAGCAGAGTATAAACTCTCTTTATTAGGATACTATAAAATACTAATGTAACCAACTATTACTACATCAGCTTTTAGCAGCCATATTAAAATTTGAGTTCATTCTGAGTTGCTTGCCCACCAAAACACTCAATACTTATCATACAAATTTCTAAGTCAGATCTTTCCTACCTGTTATTGATGTAGTTTTTAAAAATTATTGTTTTATTATAAAATCTATGCCTGATTTAAAAAAAATAAAATTCAAATAACACAAAAGTGGCTACAGAAGAAAATGAAAAGTCCCTATACCTCCAACTATCCCCACTCCCCGAGTATATATTCTTCAAGAGTTAATTCAATTCCAATTATAGAGAATTTTTTAAAGATTTCATCTTGCCACCTTGATAATTATGACAATGAAAAAAGAAATAACGTCTGCCTCAACTAGACACACCCTTGTCTTCTGCCTCCAGACTGATCCTTCTGAACCATTTTTCATACCTGTGTTAGAATAGTCTTCCTGAAATGTAGGTATATCAATGCCTCCCCAGTTTTTCAGGGTAAAGTTCAAACACCTTATCATAACATACCAAGCCATTCATAAATTGACCTTTCTTTGCCATACTCTCGACAATACCTTTTGCTTTAGGCATAGTTATAATTTCCAGAATGGACTAGGCTCTTTTCCAATTGGATTGCTGCATCCTCTTCTTGGGACAACTTCTTCATCTTCTTTGACTTAATGGTGTCTAATCTTATCTTGAAGCGCAGCTTGTCTTGCCTGGTGCAACTGGCCTTCTCTTACCCTCCTCTTACCTCTAGATACCACTCTTCTATGATTCCATAGTGGCCTGGGTAATGGATGCCTATTATAAATTTCACATGTTATAATTTATATGTATGTATGTACGTGTGTGTGTGTGTGTGTATACCACCTTTCTGTAGAGCTCTGAAGGGAATTTGCATGCTATAGTACAGATTTAGATTGGACATTAAAATATATGTCTTTAAAAATAACTTCTCTAAAAATAGGATTCTTATGCAAAAAGCTTCAAGGATGAATATCAATGAAATTTCAAAGACAGAAAGTAAAGGTATTTAAGAGAGTTATACTCCATTAAATGAATCCCTGAAGTTGAAATAAACATGCCCTGTGAGAAACTGTCTATATAAAACTGTCTGAATATAAGAAATGTTTCGAATACTCAAATTACTAGCAAAATGTGCCACAGTAACGTATGGTAAACTGGGAAATCTAATAAAATTAATATCTGTATTATAATCTCTCTACTATTTAAAAGCATTCTTTCTGGAAGAATGATCTAGTGTCTAATGATTCCCCCTCCAAATCCCCAAACTGGCATGTTTAACTGAGATAGTTTAATAATAAGGTTTGGGGTCCCAATGATTTGACAATGGGGAGCAAGAAGCAACACATAACTTACACAACATTTTCATTATTTTATCCTTGATACCACCTAGGATGTTATTCCATGGAGCAAAATTAAGTTTCTTGTTTTCTTAACAAAATTTTACTGATGAATGCCCAACTTATTTGTCATAGTCAAGGTCCTCAATAAATTTGAAAAAAAGGAAAAGGGAAGAGAAAGGAAGACAGTGTGCCAAAGATAGAGGGTTATACAAATATAACTTTGTCAAGAAGCTTCAAGCTTAAGAACTTTATAAAACTGATCAATAAGTAAGTGTAATGACAACAAAGTTGATTAGTAATTAGAACTGTCAGTTGTAGGTAAAAAGGAGATAAAGTTTAAATTTACATGTAAACAGTGAAACACTACACAAATGCTAATTATTATAAAGAAGGCTTAACTTAGAACTTTGCATATAGTAGTCATTCAAAGAAATGAATTTATGAGGGAAGAGAATCAGGAATCCTATTTTCCAAAGGAAAGCACGTTGTTAAGTTTTTAAAAAAAAGTTTTCAAGCATTTTAAAACAAATAACTCCATATGAGTGATTGACCATACAAGGTGTAGTGGATTAAATTTTGTAACCCCAAAGTTTGATATGTTGGAGGCTGGATCACCACTGTGACTGTTAAGAGGGTGGGAAGTCCTATTATGATAATTGAAAGGTGGGGTGTTGAAGAGGTGATTAAGTTGATGGTTTAATGGTGGTCGTGGATGTGATTTTGAGGGTTTAAAAGCAGAACACACAGGGAGCTCTCTCTCTGCTCTGCCATCTTCTGCCACATGAGACCCCTGCGTTGCTGTAAAACCACCAAGGAAGGCCTTCACGAGATGTGCTCCCTGGAGTTTGGACCTCCCGGCCTCAGAAACTGTAACAATAAATTTTGTTTTCTTTATAAATTACCCAGTTTTAGGTATTTTTGATATAAGCAAGAGAAATGGACTAATACACAAGTTAAATCCCTCCAATCTCAGTTTTCCACTAGGTTTTGAAAAGAAAATGCCCATTATCATATGCCTCCATTTCTCATTATACAAAAGTCTTAGAAGTAGAGACTGTCACTCTAGAGGTATCTGCATTATACATACACACATACATATACATACATGTGTGTGTGTGTGTGTGTGTATATACACTGTCATGTACATATGCATATATACAAAGGTATTTCAAAAAGTTCACAGAAAATGGAATTAAAAGATAATACACATCCATGAACTTTTTGAAGACTGCTCGTGTGTGTGTGTGTGTGTGTGTGTGTGTGCATAATGCTGATCTACCCCGAATTCCTGTGTAATGACGGGGTATTTACTAATATTATGTGAACACGAAGCCTGTTCATCAGCTGCCCAGCTCTACATAATCTTTCCATAACATCAGGAACTCCACTGCTTTCTGCATATGTCTACAGACTAGTCACTTGAACTTTTCATGGTTTTACCTTCTTCATCTATAAATAAGGATGATGATAAATCCCTCCCCCCAGTAATATCAGATGGAATTAGTTCCTGTCTGAAAGTGCTCAATTCTTGTGTTAACTGTTTCCAAAAACCCAAATTTTTGTTGTTTTTAATCCTAATTTTTTAAAAAATTAAATGAAAGCATTACACTCATCTAAGGACAGCTACCCAAAGGAAATCAATACAATTGGTAAATGCACTTGTCTTTGAATTTTCACGGCTTCCACTGCGCTGGTATAAGTCAGGGCTGCTAGGTCATTTATCAGTAAATGTACATACTTATACATTCAATCTCCTCTTCCATTTCTTTAAATGTATGAAGTGTACTTGTTTTGCTCTGGGCCTAATCAGGAAAACATAAACCATACTAAGAACTTTATAGGACATTTAATCAAAG